GATCGATCGGATCGAACAGAAAGGTTGACGGGAAAGTTCAGGGGAATCTTCAGGGGAAAGTTCAGGGGAAAGTTCACCGATGAAAGATCGATGAATGATCGGGTAAGACGGACTGAAAGATCGACGGAAGATTTTGACTGATCGGCGGAAGATTTTTGACATATCGATTGAGCGGATAGATGAACGGATCGGATCGATTGTTGGATATGTGTAGTCGAATCGACGGTGAAGGTCGATGGGTTGGGTTCACCATCATACAAGTAAGAGATACTACCGTCTTCCCCCGAACACAACGCACCCTCATTTTGGCTGTATCTGGCCGGAAATATAACTCGTATACATTCATTTTTAGGGTGCGTTATGTTCGGGGGAAGACGGGTAGTAAGGAAGCAAAATGCGAAAAAGAGATTCTAGTTATTAATACAAATAAGAGATACTAGGAAATACAAATAAAAAGAGATAATGGATAGGATAACAAATACAGTGGAGAGAGATTTTATTATTTTCCAAAATCGAAGAAGGGAAAAAATAAATAAATTGGAGGGTAATCTCCTGCACATTGAACGTAGTGAGAGATCGGGCTTCTGCTCGTTCTCTTATCACCACTGTCGGCTTCTCTCTTTTCTGTCCTTGCTTACCCTTCCCCCCCCCCCCCCCCCCCCCCCCCCCCCCACACACACACGCACGCACGCACGCACGCCATCCCTCCGTATGAGCCGTCCTCATATTCTCCCTCCCGCCCTCCCCTTTGATTCTCTCTCTCCCTTTCTCCTTCTCCGTTTCCTCCTTTTTCTGTGGCTCACTCTCTTGCTGGGTGGGGGAGAGAGAGAGAGAGAGAGAGAGAGAGAGAGAGAGAGAGAGAGAGAGAGAGAGAAGGGGCTCACGTTTGGAAAAAAAGACTGAACTGTATGGTTGTAAGTTCGAATGCTGATGGATACCCAAAAAAAAAAAAAAAAAAAAAAAAAAAGTTGGAATGCTGATGGATAAAGTAAGGGTAAGGGCTGCCGGTAGTCAGTAAAAAGAAGAAGGGGAAAAAAATTGTACCACTAAACGGGAAAAAAAGAAAAAGAAAAAAAAGGGGGGAAAAATTGTACCACTAAACGGAGAAAAAAAAAAAGAGAAAGAGCGTCTGAGCTCGTCACGAGTTGTGCCTCCCATGTAAAGGAACAGTCCTTGGGGACAACCGTTAAAATTGGAACAATACAGAGAAGGGTAAATTAGCAATATGGCCCCTGCTCAAGGATGATGGCGTGCATAAATCGAGAAATGGTCCGAATTATAAAAAAAAAAAAAAAAAAGAGAACCTGGGGAACTTGCCTGTCCTGTGAACTCGGGCAAGGGCCCACTAGCAAAGAGGATTGGATTGAGCGTCCGAATGTGGATGCATTTTATGCAAAGATGCAGAGCAGCAGGTCAGTGGCCATTGTCTGCACTTGTCCACAAACGCCTCCAGGTTCATGCGGGAAATCCAATCCTCTTTGTCCTACCGTCTTCGCCCGAATAGAACGTCCGGTCATTATAGCTGTATTTGGGGCAACTTCCAGTCCAGATACAGCGATAATTACCAGGCGTTCTATTCGGGTGAAGACCGTAGTAGGAGCTCGCCGCTGGAAGCACAGGCATAGGGGGGCCCTGTCCTTCCGGACGCACTGGCCAAAAATGTGGAAATAAAAAAAGGGGTGGTGAGTGTACCTTGACAAAGAAGGTGACTGGATACACTCGCCATTTTTCACATTTGGCTGGTAGTGGTGAGAGGGGGGAGAAGAAAAGGAGGCCCCCTCCGGAGACACAAAGTGCAGGCAAATGGGTGGGCACGTGACGTCCGTTTTTTTTTTAAAACTAAGCTATATTCTTCTCTCTCTCTCTTTTTTCTTTCTTTTTCCTGTCAATTGCAATCAGACTTGCTTTCATTCACACTTTACATGCATACAAACAGTAGCACAGCAAACTGGCGACATGCGCCCACTCAGAACTCAGAGATATAGCAACCCAGATACGAGTTCTCTTTCAATGGCTATGGCGACTCAGCGCCCAAACAACTCTCTGTTCGCATACACCGGATCACCCTGGATATCCCACACTCGTTGCTCTGCACTCACACACACACACACGCTACACTCTACTCTCGCTATGGCGGCTATGGCCGCAACTACCCTATCGCTATGCTACGCTCCTCCTCTCTCTCGCCCACTTCAGCTCCGGGCTCACTGCAGACCTCCTTGCACAAGTCGCTGTGGCAGCGCTTCCGCATGGCTCACGCAGGAATGAATGAATGGCTGGGWGCTGCCTCTTGATTTATACTTCTGAAGCTCGTTGGTCTGCCCCTTTCCATCGGCCCATGGTGCACACAGTCCCTCATGGTACTTGCTGGACCGGACTGGGACTGACTGGACTGCACCGCTGACTACATGGGGACGCTGCTATCCTACCGAGGCCGTACTGCAATCGTACTGCAGTTAGTCCACCACTTGGTTCACCACTTGACCACTTGCCCACTTGCCGACCTTCTAGAAGACTACAGCTAAGACTTCTAGACTTCACTAAGACTTCTATTCGACAGACCTACAGATCGAACCCCTACAACCTACAGACCTATGACTGCCTACCAGTTGCTTACGAATACATAGGTCACGGGTTCAACTCTCGGGGTCTACACAGGTACTGTACACGGTAGGGTAAGGGCTAGGGATAGAGCCCTGGGATCTGCATCTGCTACTGCAAAAAGGTGAAAACCGTTTCACTCCTGCCGTCTTAAATTCGAGGTCCTCCGAGAATATCTCAGTCCAAGGCAGGACCTTTACCCTTCTTATCACCCTCGTAGGCTCCGACTATGTCGGGAGCTGTTTCTAGAAGTTCTATTCTAGTAAACCAGCGGTCGTCTTTCGGTTCCTGATAAGCAAACCGGACCTTATATTGTTTCTGCGGACGACCTCTACCTCCTGTCCTAAACACATCTTCATCCACAATGCCGTCAATGTCATATCTTCCATCCATATCCGGAGGGATCATGGGTCTTCTTGAAGGGAACTGTTGACTTGTGACACACGGCAATAGCTTTGAAGCATGGAATGCAGGGTAGGTGTGGAGGTACGCTGGGATCTCTATCGTGTAGGACGGGCCATCCTCTCCGCCCTTGATTTCTAGAACTGGCCACGGTCCTCTATAAGCTGGCAGTAACTTCTGCGAAATGTTCTCCTCAAGAGCAAATTCTTTGGACTTGACCCAGACTAAGTCGCCTACTTGAAACTGGGACGGGCGACGGTGCTTGTTTGCCTGTTCTATCATTCTGTGCTGGGCCTTCCTGAGGTTCTCAACAATTGTAGCTAGCTCTCTCTCGTGCTGTATCGCAAACTCCCTAGTTCCGGGCGGTAGCCTGTGAATCTGATCCCGGGTAAGTCCTTCAAACGGTCTGCGGGGTCTAAAGGACTTGGGTAACTCGTTGGGAGTGCGACAGGTAGACAAATGCACGTTGTTATTGTATGCGCTGGCTACCTTGGGCAACATCTCGTCCCAATTGACTTGATCCGGTCTAGTATACATGCGCAGAACTTGCTGCAGGATCTTGTTCATCTGTTTTGTCTGACCATTAGTCTCTGGATGACGGCCAGATGACATCAGCAACTGTGATCCATAGACTCTCATTAGTAGTTCCTGCCAGTTCCGACTCGTGAATCTGGTGTCTCTATCACTAACTATAGACAGCGGAACCCCGTGATCACTAATCCAATGATCAGAAAACTTATGAATGACTAATTTGGTGCGTGCCTCTGCAGACAAAGGAACAAAAACTGCGTATTTACTGAATCTATCAACTATGACCATGACTTGGCTCTTGCCGTGCCTACTCTTGACACCGGCATCCATAAAGTCAATGGAGGCTGAATCTCCAGGTTGGTCTGGGATAGGCAAGCTTAGGGGCTGAGAAGACCTAGAGGGGCACGCGTAGTGGTCTTGTTCCTCTGGCAAACTTTGCAACTGCGAACATACTCTATGCAGTCAGCTTTCAAACCTGGCCAAGTATACGCACGCATCAGATTGGCTAAAGTCTTCTGCCAACCGAAGTGTCCCTCTGTGTCATGGCATTCCCCTAGGATCAGACTACGGATCTCTTCACTGTTGGGAATGCACAAGCGGTCTACTACATTAGTCTTCTCAAACAATAGTCCCTCAGTAGTGCGGTAGTCTGGTTCGGTCTCTTGGCCTCCTTAACTCTCTTGAGGAGGTCACTATAGATAGGGTCCTGCGCATACGCCTGTCTAACTTTCTCTTGCAAGTCCTTCCCTATATCCAGATAGTGTATTATAGCTCCAAAGTAGTCTGATCTCCTACTTAGAGCATCCGCAACTACATTGTACTTGCCTTTGACCGGTTTGAGCTCAAAGTCATACTGGTCTATCTCAGCGGCCCACCTAGTCAACTTGGGTGTCATTTTGGCCTGGGTCTTTAACCATCTAAGAGTTTCATGGTTGGAATACACTTTGAAGTGCCTCCCAAGCAGGTAATGTTTCCAGTGTTCTAAGGCCTGCCTGAGAGCGTAGAGTTCTCTCTCATACGTCAAGGTGGCTACTTTCTCTAAAGGCATCCTCGCTGACATGAACTGTACGGGTCTATAGCCATTGTCGTCGTCTTGTTGCAACACGGCGCCTATACCATACTGACTCGCGTCCGTGGTGACGACAAATGGCAAAGACGGATCAACTACTTTGAGGACAGGGTACTCGATTAACGCGCGCTTCAGTCTCTTTAGCGCAGACGTACAATCTTTGTCCCATTGCCAGATTGCCTCTTTCTTAAGCAACCTGCGCAAGGGAGCGGCGATGGTAGAAAAGATCCTTACAAACTTTCTATAGTAGTTAGCTAAGCCTAAGAATGGCCGCAACTCTGACAATGTGCGGGGCGTCGGCCAGTCTCTAATTGCCGCTATCTTGCTGTCCTCTGGCTTAATTCCATCTCCGTCGAACACGTGGCCCAAGTACAGGACTTGTGTCTTGACCCACTCGCACTTCTTCGCATTAATCTTGAAGTTAGCTTCTCTCAGCTTCTCCAAGACTTGTCTCAAATGACCGTGATGCTCTTGGAGGGTCCTACGGAAGACTAATATATCATCTAAATAGACTTCTACAAACTTGTCTAACCACGGCCTAAACAGATCGTTCATACATCGTTGAAAGGTAGCTGGCGCGTTGGTCAGTCCAAAGGGCATCACTATAAACTCACAGTGCCCATATCTAGTCCGGAACGCAGTCTTATACTGGTCATCAGGGTGGACCGCTATCTGATGATAGCCGTTCGAAAAATATCTGCAACCCTGCACCCGATCTAAGAGATCGTCTATCCTGGGCAGCGGCTCAACATTCTTCACTGTGATGGCATTCAAACCCCTATAGTCTATGCACATACGTAACTCTCCTTCCTTCTTGGGGACGAACAGGATAGGTGCTCCAAAAGGAGACGAACTGGGCCTGATCCAACTTTTCTCCAGGAGCTCGTCCAATTGCTTACGTAACTCCTCTAACTCTCTAGGGGACATCCTGTAGACTGCTCCCTTAGGAGTTCTACTGCCATGCTCTATCTCTATCCTGTGCTGGATGGGTCGCGACACTACTCCTGTCGACGACTCAGTTAGATCTTTAATCTCTTCCAACAGCTTGGCAATGGTTGGATCTGTGGAACTATCCCCTTCCTTAGGCTCAGTGACAGGTCTGACATACGCTACGAAGACCTAGTCCTCTAATTGTTCCTTTTTCACGAGTTGCGCGAACGCGGGAGCACTGAGAGAACAATGTGCCAGAGTGTTGTCTACACCTGACACATGAAACAAGTGGGCAGTCTTAACCTCGCCTGACGGACTAGGGAGCCTACACTCATGCTCTCTCAAGTGGAGTGTGGCCCCCGCTGCCTCTCCCCAATCCATTCCTAACACTATATCAAAAGGAAGGTCATCCTGTACGAGGAGAGTCAGGGAATGGAGGACTTTCTCCACCTTCCCATCTTTCTCTAGGCGACAATACGCCTGGACTCCCTCTACGTAGTCCTCAACACGCATAGTGCGGTTGTCTGCGAGGACACTGACTATGGGGTCTGCCAACTTTTGGACTTTTAATCCTAGCCTCAACTTCTTCAGCGCTCTACGACTAATATAACTACGGGTAGCCCCTGAGTCTATGAGGGCTCCTACTCTACTCTTAAAGACTTCTACGTCAATCAAGATCAGTTGTCCCTTACTCTCCTTCTTCATGTTGGCCCAGGCTGGCATCCTCTCCTTCAATTCCTCTGCCACGCCTGTGAGGGACGTGCCTAGAGAGATGCTAACACAAGCAGTCTCTGGACAGCTAGCTAGGCACGGGCCTGCAACCTCTGCCATAGGCACATGTGGTTTGGGAGTTTCCTGTAGGCGCGCGCTCGCTTCCCCACATGGCCTTGAAGTAGGGGCAGTTGCGACCCCTACTGGCGGCTGCCTTTTGACTGCTGAGCAGCCAATCGGGCCTGTCTATACTTAGGACAAAATTTAATTACATGGGCCGGGTCACCACAAAACACGCACTGACCCAAGTCCACGCGTTCCTGCCATACGCGCCGGTCTAAGCCCAAATCTTCCCACGGCCTGCCCTGTGGCAAGCCTGGGTGCCATCCCCCTTGAGGTGGCCTTCCACCTCGTCGTTGCGGGGACCGACAAGAACCCTGATGATTTGGCGGGGGACCTTGACCCCTACCTCCCACTTGGCGGTTCCCTTGTCCGCCAACCCCCTGTCCGCCCGGTCCTCGACCTCCCGTGGCCTGGCCCCTTTGGCCCTGGCCTCCTCCTCTACCTTGCGGCCTCCCTCCAGCCGCGACAACAACATAGGACCTCCCCTGTCCCATGCTACTGTCCTCATCCTCGAGGCCCCACTCGATTTGACTATATGGGACCTCGTTTGTACCACCTTCTTCTAAAGTAAGGATCATATGATCCTTGGCCCTGACTTGGCCAGAGATGGTACACCCTTTCCACTTCTTCCCCTTATCCAGGTCCTTATGCCAGAACGTGGACGCTGGCATGGACTTTGACTCGAAGAGGACCACCTCTGTACTCAGCACATCATATGTGATGTCGGCTTGTTGAGATTTATCAAAGAAATGCCCACGGAGGGGCTCTGACATGGCAAGATAAAACAATTGGATCAGCTGGGGCTCAGTGACCCCATGGTCTGGGACGGCTACCAAGTCGTCCATGACACCCTTGAGTGCCCTGGCACTCCTGTCGTGAGTGGATGGTCTGTAACTTATCAGAGGCTCTAACGCCTCTCGTTGGGTCAACAAATCTCTCCCTCAGGAGTTTGAAGAATTGAGGAAAGGGGGTGATCTTAGAATATGCAACCAGGTTGTTTTCACAATCGACCGCACATGCAAGGGACCTGGCAAAGCTGACCGCTTCGTCTTTGAGGGCCTGGAAGGCGACGAGGACTTGCTCCTCAGTCAGGATGTGCTGTAAGTACACGTAACTATTTACACTCGCCTCCCAGTTATCGAAATTCTCCTCCTTCCCGCCATATGCGTCTGGGAACTTAAGCTTGACGGGCTCTTTACGGGGCCTGGCCTCACTCTCAACGGCGGCTACTGCTTTGGCACCCTCGATAGCGCCCTCACAGAACTTCCCCGCATTGTCTCTCAATCGTTTGACTTCTCCTCCAACGTGGGTGACCATATCGCGCGCGAAGTCTCGAAATCCTGACCGCATGGCCCTCAGGGCCACATCGTGACCCGAGTTAGCTTGGCGCTCCTCCATCCAGGCCGCACTCAACACTTCCAAGTACCCCAGCATCTTATCCATTTTGGCAGAAATGTCTTCCTGCGCCTGCACCTCTTGTCTACAGTCTCTCACCTTTGCCACCTCCGCGGTTAACCTATTAACTTCCTCCCTCCTCCTCTTCTTTTCCCTCTTCATCCTCAATTTCCACTCCAACTTTTTCTCCTCCTCTGCTTCTTGCCGTTCCAGGGGGTCCTCGATTGTTGCTAGCGCGCTGGCTAGCGCATCCCTCTCATCCTGTGGCACATAAAACTGTGCCTCCTCATCTTCTCCCAACGATAAGTTAGCAATCCACTCACTAATCTTCTTCTCCATCGCTGCATCCTCATTTGCCGTGCCACTACTCTCTCCTTTTACTTCCCTGTGTTTTCTTTCCTCTTCTGCTTCTGCTGCTGCTTCTTCCTCGGCAACCTTTTTCTTCTCCTCCATCTCCTCCTCCAACTTCTTCATTTTCGCCGCCTGCTCCTCTGCGATTGCTTTCAATTTCGCCTGCTTCAGGAGATCTTCTCTCTCTTTATTCTCTCTCACTAAGGCGGCCATCTTCTCTTGTTGCTCCTGGGTGTAGGGGCTAGTGCTCTTCCCACTACGGGTCTCAACCATGGTGATAAGTGCACAACCGGGTTGACGGTTCCAAACCTCACCACGTAGACTCTAACTCGTGACTAACAAACTGACTGACTCAATCTAAAGACTCACAGAATGCGGACAGGGATCCTGCCAACTAGGGTCTCTAGCCTAGACCTACACTATGGCTGTCACTACTAGACCTGTTGCTGATCAGGAGGCATTTAAGGAGATCCCCCGTAACTCCTCAGGAATTATTTAACGTGGCAAACAGGACGACGCGATCAGCAGGTCTCTCAACACTTAGACTGTCTGTTGCGCAGCCCACAACTCAGCCTTTCGGGCCTACCGTGCCACACCGAGCAGCCCGCCGGTCTGTACCGGTCCTTGGGAGGGTGAGCCCTCTGGGAGAGTCGAGTCGTCAAACACAGTCTTTAGACCTACTTGGTCCGGCAGGGGTTTGGTCAACAAGGCCTATCCTTCATCCACAGAGTTCTATCACCTGGACAGAAGAGACTCGATGCAGAAAGAATAAACAGACAGACTTGACTCAGCAAGTACCATAGGGTGTGTGCACATCCATAGGGCGAGGGATAGGTTGAAGGCTTGGCGAGATTATACCGGCTCCAGCTTGGTCAAACTCGTGGTCAACGGCTTGGTCAACGCCCGTCAACGCTGCGGTCAACCCCCGGTCAACTCCGGTCAACGCCGGTCAACACCTCCGGTCAACTCCTGGTCAACCCCGGTCAACATCCGGTCAACGCTTGGTCAACTCTCTCGGTCAACTTTCCCGGTTGGCTATGGCTGCCGGCTTCGCTTTCTCTCACCAACCTTCTTCTTCCCTTCACCTTCCTCGCCTCCTTCCACCTCGGCTGTCTCCTTTCTTCTCTTTTTTTTTTTTTTTTTTTTGTTCGCCTCTCTTTCTTCCTCTCCGCGGCTATGGCTTCTCTCTCCCTTCTCAGTCTCTCCCTCTGTCGCATACTAGTGAGTACATCAACAAGTATGAGAAGAACCAAGGATCAACCAATATAGGATGAGCATGTATGCAGCGGAAGTCTGATGAATGGACTGACTCACATAGACTGACGTCACACAGATATCACTCCACACACAAACAATCGTGAGATGGGAGGGGTCTGAACCAAACACAGACGATGTTCAGGCCCCGTAGACGCATACACAGACGAAGGTGGGAGAAGAGACGAGGAGGTGGGAGATGGAGGTAGCGCCAGATGTCACCGAGATAGAATCCGGAAGGTCACCGATATGGTAATCCAAAATGTCATCGAACAAGGTCAAAATGTCGTGGACAAGAAGTCACCAATGTCGGAGATACAGAGTCTTACTGTAACCGGTGTCCAATCGGTAATGCCACCGGATATCAATCCCAACAATCTCCAAGTCTCAGATCCGGTAAGTACCAGAGCCTCCTACCACCGAAGTCCAACACTGATCTCTGTCCAACTAGTATAAGTCTCCAATCCGAAAAAGAAGAAGAAGAAGAAGAAGAAGTCTGAAGAAGAAGAAGAAGAACAAGAAGAAGAAGAAAGAGAAGAGAGGAGCTGAGGAGGAGAGAGAGAGGGGACTGGTGAACGGGAGGGAGGAGAGAACCTCCGACTCTCGGTACCTCAGGTGGCTATCAGATCCGGTAAGTACCACAGCCTCCTACCACCGAAGTCCAACACTGATCTCTGTCCAACTAGTATAAGTCTCCAATCCGAAAAAGAAGAAGAA